AAGTGTTAGTATAGATATAGTTGTTATTCATTACACTTATAGGCTAAGAGTATAAATAGCCTCATCATGTACACAAACCCTAATTCATTCATTCTATTCATTCTTTTGGTTTTTCTCTCGCCGCTCTTCTCTCTCTGTTTCTCTACCTCGTTCTTCAGATTTGATCTTTGTCTCTTCAGATTGTTAGTTTCAATCTTGATATGGTATCATTCGCCGGTTGATTCTCCGTTCTCTCTTCACTTTTTCGCTGCAAATCCGATCTCTGACGGGTTTTTCACTCGAGAACTCGCAACCCTAGATCTACTCCGATCTATCTTCAATCTCGCCGATTTACTCCGATCTGATCTCATGGCGACTACAGCTCCCACTACATCACCGTCTGACGATCCTTCGACGCCGTATTATCTTCACGCCTCTGACAATCCTGGTGCCCTAATTGTCGCATACATCTTCAATGGCGACAACTACATCCCGTGGTCCCGAGCTGTTACCATGGCGCTCAGCGTAAAAAACAAAGGAGGATTCGTTGATGGTACAATCGTTCCCCCTCCTTCCACTAATATTGTACAATTTATGGCTTGGTTACGTGCTGATAACCTTGTGCTCTCATGGATTCTGAATTCTATTTGTAAAGACATTCGTTAATCTTTGTTGTATTTCACTTCTGCAAAGGAAGTTTGGGATGAACTGCGTAATAGATATGCACTTAGCACTGGTCTTAGGGTTTGTCAGATTGAGAAATCACTTAGTACAATGAATCAAGGTGCATTGTCTATTACACAGTATTACAATGGTTTTAAAGCTCTTTGGGATGAGTATGTGACATATAGACCAATTGTTAGATGCACTTGTGGTGCTTTTTCTGTCTGTACTTGCAACATATTTGAGTCTACGTCCCTTGCACAACATCAGGACTCTGTCATGAAATTTCTCATAGGCCTACATGATTCATACTCCCAAATCAGAAGCCATTTCCTCTTATCTACACCTTTACCCACTCTCTCAAAAGTTTATTCCATACTTCTCCAAGAAGAATCCCAGAGAACTCTTCACAATACTGTCAACTGAAAACAGCCACATATCATTCAAAACAAACTAAAACTTCTTTCACCAAAGACAAGAAACGACCTAAATGCTCACATTGTGGCTATAATGGCCATACTGCTGATAAATGCTTCCAAATTGTTGGCTATCCACCTAACTGAACTGGTCCAAAAGGCCCTAGACTCCCTCCTAACCCAAATGGCTCTCTTCAACCCTCTGCAAACATTTTGCATGCAGACACCACTTAGCATTCTACTTCTTCCATGACTAATGATCTCTTTGCTGAGTTTTTAGCATATAAGTAAAGTAAAGAAATTACAGGGGCTGATTCTACTCCTATGATTGCCTCTGCCATTCCAGATCATCCAAGTGCTTCAGGTATACCTTACTACTCTTGTGTGACAGCTAATGTGTTAAATAAAAAGTCTTGGATATTAGACACAGGAGCTACTGACCATATGATATGTGATATGAGTTTCTTCTCTGGTAGTTCTACTTCTGTGAATATTAATATCAATCTTCCAAATGGTCAACACACACAAGCATGTCACATAGGAAATATTAATCTCAATGGCACTCTTCAGTTGACAAATGTGTTATTTGTTCCTAGTTTACATTTCAACCTCATCTCCGTGTCTAAATTAGTATCATCACATAACATTGCTGTCCAATTCATGTCATCATGTTGCATATTACAGGACCTGACCACTCAGCAAATGATTGGTTTGCTGAACTGAGAGATGGTCTCTATCATCTGAACATTGGATCTGCACTTTCTTATTTTCATGCTTCTGTTCATAAACATTCAAATGTATCTAGTCATTTACCTATAACTGCAAATGTATCTACTCAGAAGTCTCTCATTTAGCATAATAGACTTGGCCACTTATCATACTCTAGAATGTCAACATTACCTCTTACTATTTCTTCTTGCAATAAACTTACAGCAACACCTTGTGTTGTATGCCATTTTGCTAAGCAAAAGAAATTGAGTTTTCCTGTCAGCACATCTACTGCTTCTAATTGCTTTGATCTTATACATTGTGATATATGGGGACCTTTCAACACTAAATCTCATGGTGGCTACAATTATTTCTTAACAATTGTAGATGATCATAGTAGAACTACATGGATTTATCCCTTGGCTTATAAATCAGACACAAAATCCTGTATTCAACATTTTTCAAACATGATAAACACTCAATTCAATAAGAAAATAAAGATACTCAGATCTGATAATGGAACTGAATTCTTTATGTCAGATTTTTACAACAAAAATGGGATAATCCATCAAAAGAGTTGTGTTGAAACTCCTCAACAAAATGCTAGGGTAGAAAGAAAGCATCAGCACTTACTTCAAGTAGCTAGAGCTTACTTTTCAATGCCCATTTTGCCTTTAACCTTTTGGATTGACTGTGTTTTAGCAGCAGCACATATAATAAACAGAGTACCAACACCCATTCTGCAAGGTAAGTCTTCTTTTGAAGTGCTATATGGTATGATCATCTTAATGTTATATGCTTCTACTTTTACTGCTCATAGATCTAAATTTGCCCCTAGAGCATCTAAATGCATTTTTCTTGGCTATCCATTAGGTTGTAAAGGTTATAAACTTTACAACTTGGATACCAAGAATACAATAATATCTAGAAATGTTCAGTTCTATGAAACTACTTTCCCCTTTTCCAAGCCAAACACTGAACCTTCTGGACCTTTATTTCCTCCTCCATCTCCTACTCATTTCCAAGAACCCAATATGCAGACTTCCCTCACTCCAGTTACACAACCAACCAACTCCCCTCCTGCTACAAATAATCCTATCAACTCCCCTCTTACTACTAATAGCCCTATCAACTCTTCCCCTATTGCTAATAGCCAACCATCTGGTAATTCATCACCTCTCAACTGCTTTCCAGATACCTCACAACCCACTAAAATTATGCCTATTGTCCCTACAAGAAGATCAAACAGAACCCACAAAGTGCCAGCATACCTAAATATCTATGACCACACTATCAAACCATCTTCTAACTCTGTCAATACTGAACAAAACATTTCTGGGACAACCCACTACCCTATTCAAAACTATTTGTCCACAACCAATCTCTCATCATCACATTCCTGTTTCACTGCAGCTATTTCAAAACTTATTGAACCTACTTCTTACATTCAAGCTGCCAAAGATCCACTTTGGCAGGCTACAATGAAAAAGGAAATTGATGCATTAGAACACACCAATACTTGGTATTTAACTGAACTTCCTGAAGGTAAAAACTGTGTTGGTTGTAAATGGGTATATAAAATAAAATATAAATCTGATGGTAGTGTTGAAAGATATAAGGCAAGATTAGTTGCCAAAGGCTATACACAGAAGGAAGGTATAGATTATTTTGATACCTTCTCTCCTATGCCAAGATCACTACTGCTAGGTTTCTAGTTGCATTAGCATCTATTATGAAATGGACCATTCAACAGTTAGATGTTAACAATGCATTTTTGCATGGGGACCTTGATGAAGAGGTATACATGAAACCTCCACCTGGCTATTGTGCTAAGTCTGATAAAAGAGTATGTAGGCTAACCAAAAGTCTTTATGGCCTAAAGCAGGCTTCAAGACAATGGTTCCACAAACTCACAACTTGTTCACTTTCCTATGGCTTTACCCACTCTGTGTCTGATTGCTCATTGTTTATCTTCTCTGATGGCACCATTTTTATTGCTTTACTAGTATATGTTGATGATGTGATCATAGCTGGTAATAGTATTGATAAAATAAATGCCATTAAAGCTCATTTGGATCATTGTTTCACTATCAAAGATTTGGGTACATTGAAATACATATTAGGCATTGAGTTTACCCATTCTGAGAAAGGAATAAACATGTACCAAAGGAAATATGCACTTGATATTTTAAAAGATACAAGATTTCTTCGTTGTAAACCTGCTAGCACCCCAATGGATCCTCTTTTAAAACTCAGTTCACAATCAGACACCACAGAGCCTATAGACGCTTCAGAATACAGGAGGTTGGTAGGTAGAATTCTTTACTTAACTATTACTAGACCAGATTTAGCTTATAGTGTCCATATACTCAGCCAATTCATGTCCAATCCCTCTAAACATCATTTAGCAGCTGCCCATAGAGTACTAAGATACATTAAAGGCACTGTGGGTAAAGGTCTGTTTTTCTCAAGTTCTTCAAAATTACAATTGAAAGCCTTTAGTGACAGTGATTGGGCAGGGTGTTTGGACATTAGAAAGAGTTTAACTGGTTATAGTGTTTTTCTTGGTGACTCACTTATCTCTTGGAAATCAAAGAAACAATCTACCATTAGTAGATCTTCAGCAGAAGCTGAATACAGAGCTCTTGCATCCACTTCTTGTGAGATACAATGGCTTTTATATTTGTTTACAGATCTACACTTATCACACCCCTCCCCAATTGTTATTTTTTGTGACAGCAAATCTGCAATGGCCATTGCATCCAATCCAGTGTTCCATGAGAAGACCAAGCACATCCAAATTGACTGCCACCTCATCAGGGAGAAACTAAGCCAGCAGCTCATCACACTTCAATACAAGAGCAAGTGGCAGACATTCTCACCAAACCTCTTGCTGGTCCTGCTTTTTCATATCTTGAATCCAAGCTCCACATGTCTAATATTCATGTATAGCTTGAGGGGGGTATTAGAGTTACTATTCCTTATGTTAAGAGAGTTGCTATTCATTATGTGAAAGTGTTATTTACTTAAACAAGTGTTAGTATAGATATAGTTGTTATTCATTACACTTATAGGCTAAGAGTATAAATAACCTCATCATGTACACAAACCCTAATTCATTCATTCTTTTGGTTTTTCTCTCGCCGCTCTTCTCTCTTTGTTTCTCTGCCTCATTCTTCAGATTTGATCTTCGTCTCTTCAGATTGTTAGTTTCAATCTTGATAAACCCTATTAAAGTTCTAACACGTCTATTGCATGAATATATTTCATTTGACTTGTCTAAATATTCATGAAAGTCCACTTACACAAAATGAAACTATAAAATCTGTACAAAAACCATTTTTTCTAACATTATTCATCACTATAAAATTATTAAAATGCAAAATTATTTGAAAACGCCTTTTAAACGGTCAGGCTTCACCTATACGTGGTGTTAAATCTTTCCATTCTTGGCATAGATTTGCCCCCGTCGTTCTTTCCTAGGAAATAAATTGGTTATGGTGGTATAGATTACTAACTTCATCTCTCACTAAATTTAATATCGAGGACTCATATGGTACAATTTAGATTAATATTACTATATATAAAACTACAGTACATTGAATAAAAGCTTCAAAATAAATTCAATCTCTCTGTTGACCCATTTACATGCCCACTTCACAGGAGGCCAGAAGGTCTATACATGAAAACTGTAGGGATGAAAATAGATCAACAAAACCTCAATGCATCTTCCAGCTCCTTTTCGTCTTCACAATTATATCCAAGTAGATATGCCCGAGCTGATGCATAATAAAAACATCCAATATCAATAGATGAAAAAAGACTCACAAAAACACTTCACAATAAATGAGAGACAAATTGTTTGTACCAAAGCGTCCAGATCCCATGAAAGGCTCTGCTTCATCAGTCACACCAACTTGCTGCTGTTCCTATAATTTCAATTCAAATGGAAAAGTTTAGCCTTCTTAAAGTTAATTTTGGGGCCAAAATGATTTGAGAGAGAGAAGGATGTGGAGACAACAAAAAGCTTTTGATCTGACCTCATGAAATTATTGTAAAATTTTGTGAAAATTGAAAGAACTGTTGAACCTAAGGACTTTACAAGCTTAACCTTAAGTTCTAATTGAAGTTTTCTTTACAGATCTTCACTGCTTGTTTGTATTAGGTAAGTACACCCAACAAGAACCATAAACTCCTCCAGAGGATGGAAATGATAACAAAGATTGGGTGCAACTTCCAGAATCGACACATCAGACGTGCTAAGAGACGCCAAATAATTGCATTCAAGTTGCAAATATAAAACTTTAATGTTACGTGAGAAAATGCCTTACAGCATCAGGTTCCATTTCATCTGCACAGAGTAATCTTTCAAAACAGCGGCCTGAGATGGTGCAGACCAAGAGCTCATTCGCGGGGTCCATACTAACTTCTTTGCATGTATCATCACAAACTGCAGAAGGTAAGAAAAAAGCAAATAATATTAAGTGTCTTGGTCAATCATCAGGTTTCATTTCATTGAACAATCCTATGCACCAGTATGTATCATCTCACCATGAACATTGCCAGTTTTCTCACAAACAAACACATCTCCGATTTGATAGTATGTGCAGCTTTCCCCAGTGCATGCATGATTGACTACCACTGTATCAGCCAGGCCTCTGCTGCTCTTCCACATAGAGACTTGATCCGCAAGTGTCTTGTCAAGGATTATACGGTCATCGTTCACCTTAACATCAAATAGAACATTACCAGTTAAGGCAAGCCTTCATCAATATTAACTTACAAAAGAACATGCAAGCAGGAAAAGTTGAAAAATGTGTAATAAAATTAATTATTAAATTAGGTAATGCAAACAGCTCCTCAAAACAATCAGGAATCTGACAAAAAATGAAGAGTTCTGGCAAGGTTCCCCCTTGTTCAACACTGGAGGATTGACAGATTGGTATTGAACATCCACACCAAAAACAACTTAGATGCCAATACGCAATACTACCATGGACATGTTGGGAACCCATTCTTAAAAATCACATTAACATTTACCACCACAAAGCATTCCATTAAGCACTTATCAAGTTTACCTGAGAAGGATGAGGTGCTTGACTTCTCTTCGCCACTTGCATCTGGATGTAATATTCTTTGAATTCAGATGGGCAATTCTTCACGAAGGCTGCCATATCATCTTCATCACGCTGTGTAGGTAATATAAAAGAGCTAGATTATGATTTATGAAATATAAAGGAAAGATATGAATGGAATGACAGACTCAAAATGAAGCTATGTTTTTTTTTTTTCAACTACAAAGCACAAGATAAAGAAACCAAACCTATTGAAAATTAATAGAGAATGACATTCTCCTCCAATTTTGAAAGTTCTACGACAATATTTCTCATCTGAAAATGACAGAACGTTAAAATTCGAAGTTACCTGGATATAAAGCTTCTTCCAAGCACTCTCCCTTGGCTTTTTAGGAAGCACTAGACCCCACCTCATACAATACCTATGAAAATAATAACCATAAGATTCCAAGCTCTAGATGCATTGATGAAAATAAAGTAGCCCCGATAAGATATCCTTATTATTGGTTGATAGACAGATTCATATTAGACCCACTGGCATTTGCCAGTGCCTGCATTCATCATTTAAGACCCAAATGCCTTTATTCGCATATATCAAAAGGTAAAATCGAAGAAGATTTGGCGTCAAGGACATCCAGTTCAAAGAAATTTTTTTTACCATATTGCATACTTAAAATACAATAATTGTTGCCTGAGAAAAAGCATAACAGTGCTTCTTATCATAATGTTTATCAATATACTAATAAAACTTCATTACATGCAGTGAAAAAAGAAGAAAATTGACCATATGTTCATTCCCACACCCAGACCAGTCTCTATATTTTGGCTTTATTTCTTTCTTACTTTATTGGTGGAAAGGGGAGGGGTGGAAATGAATGATGACAAGTTACAATAAAGGAAAGAGTACTAACAAGCGACGCCACAAGGATTCATCTGAAGCAGCAATATTTAGGAAGCTACAGACCAATGAGCAAGAAACAAGATCCTGCAGTTCAATAAGACATGCATAAACAACTAAATAAACAAATGGTAATCATAGGCCGAACAAACAGACACACAAAGAAAGAGAAAACGCAAGACAAATCTATATACCTCAGAGGAGAGGAACTTGAGGATGTGAAAGAACAGTTCAGGAGGGATCTGGCTGAAAAATCCAGTCTCAATCCTCCTAGATAACTGTCTACTTTCAGCTCTAAGGTTCTCATTATCTTTATCGCCTAGAGTATTATCTTTTACAGAAGGTGATAATACTGCTTCTGCTTCAACTTCAACTTCCAGCTCGAGAGATGATAAAGATGATGAAGAAGACGATCGTACTGCCCTCGATAATCCTTCATCACTAATTTCACCCTCCTCAATTCTAATCTTTTTTGCTTCTTGTTTTTCCTTCTCCTCCTGTTCACTAAGGTCTCCCTCTTCATCATACGACCTCTTTCTATCTCTCTCTTCTTCCTCACTCTCATCTCCATTTTGATTTGCCTTCAAGTTTTCCTGCAACACAATACCAATAGTTACTTGCACGGATTAACAACAAAGAAAAACAAAAGAAAAGAGAAACACTTTCATAATGATGAGAACCAAATAACCAATTTCTAAAAGCATGACATGAAGTATAAGGATGCAGTTAATCCAAGGATTTAGCGGTGGATAGGAGCGCTTGGAGGCTAGCGATCAACGTGCCAGAACCGTGATTTTTGCTCCTTTCTCTTTTGCTCCAATCTCTTCTTTTGTTTCAACCCCTTTTTGTGTTTCTTTTACCGATGGTTCTCTTGAGTTTCATCTCTAGCCTACCCCGACTTGCTTGGGACTAAAGGCTATGTTGTTGTTGTTGTTGTTGTAGACAGACAGACGCACGCCGACACAGACATTTATATGCATAAAAGCTAACTTGTGGGTTCAATATACAGAGAACTAGAATAGGCTCCAGATCACATATCATGGCAACCACACCAGTAGGCTGGTTATTGATGATGCAATCATATACAATTTAGATATCGTAAACATCAAATGTGCAATTTACAGGCAACTTCTATGACATTAAAACATTTAGTTAGAGACATTTTGACATTTTAATTTCATGCTGCAAACACTTCTCATTCTTTGAAAAAAGTTCGTTTACAGGATGTATTGATATAAACCTGCTGCACAAATTTTATAACCCTGATTCAGAAAATAAAAATCGAAAATCAAATTTAACCAATCAACCGCATCAAAATCCAGCTAAAACCATTCCAATAGATCAGTCAATATTCAGATAAAATAAACATAATGCAAATTAGGACATAAGTAAAAAAAAAATATAAAAAACATAAAAAAAGAGAGACTTGCATACCTGATCGGAGAGTTCGGAGAAGACCTCAGATTCGAGGAATTGAGCGAGGTTTTCATCTTCATCATCGGGACCCATAGCAATTACAGAATTTTATTCGAGATTAAAAAAAATCGGATCTTTGATCAGAAAAAATAAGTTAACGGAAACGATGAGGTGGTAATATGAATCATCGCCGGCGATTTAAGATGTACGGCGTCGGCGGATCTGGGCCGTTGATATAACGGGACGACGGCATTTGGAAGACGAGGCATGAGAATAGGAAGAGCGAAATTCGGAATCGGGTCGCGTAAAATTTACATCGGGTCGAATTATGACTTCGAAATTGGGCCAGATTTGTCCGATAAATTAGATATATATTGAATAAATGACACCCCTATCTCTTTGTTTATATAGTTTACACAATTACCTTAATTTATGGGAAAAATTAAACTTATATAGTTTACACAATTACCTTAATTTATGGGAAAATTTTTTTAACCTAATGTCATTTTTTCATTAACTATAGTTAAGATAAAAAGAAGTGAAATAATATTTGTACGTTACTTAATTTGGTAAATGAATTTTTAGGAACAATTAGTGAATAATTCACTTATTTAATACCAAAATAATCTATTAGTAGTTGTCACAATTGATTTCTAAGATTACTTCCGGATTTAGGACTTTTCTTGATTAGTTTTGGTAAGGCCCTCAGGCGGCGTATTTTTTTGAAACAAGGTCCTCCAAAAGGGATGGAGAGATAGCCAGAGTTGGGGATGCCAAACTAGCTGGCGAAGAGTCAATGTTAGTGAGAAATGCTATGGAGCCAATGGTTGATCAATTATCAATATTATAGTGCCACGTAGGCCATGTGAAAAAATAATTAACTCCACATACCTTACGTGACACTATAACATTGGTGGTTGGCTCCATAAATGAGCCAATCATTGGCTCCATAGCATTTCTTCAATGTTAGTATTATAACTTTCTGAGCCGCAGTTAAAATAATTATTAAATAATTCACTTATTTAATACCGGAAGAATTTATTAGTAGTTGTCATAAATATTAATCCATAGTTTAAAGTGATTATACTAAAAAGTAAGATTTTAAATGTAATTTTTATTAAATTTAACTGCAAATAAAATGACAGGAGTCAATTTTGCCCTTTCCTAAATTCTCCCCCTCCCTTGACCTTCCGTTCCCATAGCATCATTTGGCTCCTCTCAACTCTCTTGATGTGTATGCTAACTGCAAATAAAGTTGATGCTTGGACCTGACGTGCATGAATTACATAAGGATGGATATTTCGGAGCATGAGCAAAGGCACTTCTTCGGACTTCTTAACTCGGTAAGGCAATTGTCTCATGCACAAACTTCCACACATTATTATTCATTGGGCACACATTTTGTAGTAGTTTTTTGCCCCTTTGTTTTCATCGGTACTGTACTGCTATAGGGCTCACAATTTTTATGTGCATAAGCAATTTTATTCATTCTAGTTAGCCATTATTTTTTTTTTTTTTTTTTTCCCNTTCCCTTCAATTTTTTCATTTGGCCTGTAATTTGGTCGAAAATTGTCTGGACTGTGTTCGTATGCTTTAAGGCGGCGTTATTGCTTATAGGATCTTGAGTACAAACGATCTCCTGTTCGGATTATTGAATTGATGACTAACCCTAACAGCTCTGGGGAATATATATATTTTTTAAAAAAGAAATCTATCTTTGAGTAACTGAATATGAGAAATTCACGACATGCAAACTTCATAGTATACAGAGGTTTGCAGTTTGTGCTGTACCAGGATTGTGGGCCAATTTCAAAGTGCAACAAAGTATTGCTTATTTTAACTGATCCATAGGCCCACCGTATATTGATACATCCAACTCAAGCAGCACCACAATTTACCAGAATTATGAATGAAAAGGACATCAATTCACAGTATAAAATAAGCCTGTCCTTTTCTAGTGCTACTGAGATTGTTTTTGAATGGAAAAAAGATTTATATTAAAGTGATATATTCCTCGGGATCATTATGTTGCGGTAAGTGGATCATATAAGCTGCACGAGCGAGTCCACTTTATGGGGTCAATGGATTTGCAGTAAGTAATTAATAATGTTTAGCACATTAACTCATTGATTCAAATGCTCCTGTTTTGTCTTTTCACCAGATTATCTGTTATTTTAACCTCTGTGAGTGCTGTTACTGTTCAGTATCTTCTCTAACACCCTGCGAATGGTGTCGAGTCAAAAGTAGATGTTGACTAATGAAAACAGTTTAGAATGTTTGGTTTGGTCCCTTCTAATAACTACTCCCAGCATTCAAGAACATGGTTTTCCAGTGCTTCATTTGTTGAGGAAATAGCATTGGGTGACTTGTAATAGTCAGTAGTGATCTGGTCCATTCGTTTGTCTCTATTGACTAATAAAAATGCATCAACTCGTAGAGTAATTGTTTATTTCAGTTTAAACTACATTAATATCCACCACCAGATGGTACCAAGACATATAAAACCTTTGGAGGTCCCTATACAGATCCAAAAAAGCCGGTGGTGGCTAATTTCACCTAAAAAAACTAAAACAACCCGTTTTATTCCTTCCTCGGTCAACAAAAAACACCAAACTTGCGCCAAAACTCAATAAGTTCCCTTTTTCACATAT